GTGACGTCATTGTTGTCGTCACCAAGGGCGGAGCCTCCAGGGGGCGGGGCGTGGACAAACACGCGGTGACGTCATTGTTGTCGTCACCAAGGGCGGAGCCTCCAGGGGGCGGGGCGTGTAGTGTACACAGTGTGTATAGAGTACATACAGTGTGTGAATACAGTGTGTGTAGTGTACACAGTATGTGTAGTGTACACAGTGTGTGTGTGTAGTGTACACAATGTGTAGTATACACTGTGTGTGTGTAGTGTACACAGTGTGTATAGAGTACATACAGTGTGTGAATACAGTGTGTGTAGTGTACACAGTATGTGTAGTGTACACTGTGTGTAGTGTAGTGTACACAATGTGTAGTATACACTGTGTGTGTGTAGTGTACACAGTGTGTAGTGTACACTGTGTGTAGTGTACACAGTATGTAGTGTACACAGTATGTAGTGTACACCGGGTGTGTAAATACAGTGTGTAGTGTACACACAGCGTGTGTGTGTAGTGTACACTGTGTAAATACAGTGTGTAGTGTACACACAGCGTGTGTGTAGTGTACACAGTATGTAGTGTACACAGGGTGTGTAAATACAGTGTGTAGTGTACACAGTGTGTGTAGTGTACAGTGTGTAGTGTACACACAGCGTGTGTAGTGTACACAGTGTGTGTAGTGTACATACAGTGTGTAAATACAGTGTGTATAGTGTACACAGTGTAAATCCAGTGTAGTGTACACACAGCGTGTGTGTATAGTGTACATATGTAGTGACATCGCGCCGACTGCTGTCCAGCAGCGGCAACTGTGGTGGACAGTTGGCGCACTGACGCCGTCGAGGATGTACACGCTGGGTGTGCCGGCAGGGCGGAGGAACTGGGGCAAGGGCCACGGAAGACCTCACCGGGAAGCCCCTGGAACCCGCTCGTGGGTTCGAGAAGGGAGGCGGAGCCAGGGAGAAGCCAGGGAGGAGCCAGGGCGGAGCCAGAGCGCTGCCAGGGAGGAGCCAGGGCGGAGCCAGGGAGGAGCCAGGGAGGAGCCAGGGCGCTGCCAGGGAGGAGCCAGGGAGGAGCCAGGGAGGAGCCAGGGAGGAGCCAGGGCGGAGCCAGGGTGCTGCCAGGGAGGAGCCAGGGAGGAGCCAGGGCGGAGCCAGGGAGGAGCCAGGGCGGAGCCAGGGCGGAGCCAGGGAGGATAAAAGCAGCGGAGAGCTCCGGGCTGCCGGTTCTGGGAGTGGACTCGTCTCGTCGTCGTCGCCGCCTTCACTCGATAATTGCGCAGCCGGAGAGTTCATCTTCTTGGTTCTTTCGGTAAAGTCACGTAGAATGGAAATAATAAAATAATAAAAATAAAACATAATAAAATAATTCTCACGACGTTCCGGCCACAACGCAAGCAGCCGTCCTCAGGTGGAGAACAGGTCTGTCGAGAAGACAGCATCTGAATGACACACCCCAGGCTTGGAGCGACTATTTAAGCTGGGATGGAGGGGGGAAGAGGAGCGCCTTGACAAAAGAATTTGCATATCAAGCAGCAGAGGTTAGTGTAAATGCGATTGGTATTACCTTAGAGTTGCGGCATCTCTTCAGAAAGGTGAGAGACTCGATTAGCTGAGCCTTCTTATCCTGGAGTTTGTTGAAAGATCTTAAAGTTTTGTGGAATCCCACCCCGTAGTGGCAGTTAAATTTTGATTTAAAGCTTTCATTTACACTAACCTCTGCTGCTTGATATGCAAATTCTTTTGTCAAGGCGCTCCTCTTCCCCCCTCCATCCCAGCTTAAATAGTCGCTCCAAGCCTGGGGTGTATCATTCAGACTGTCTTCTCGACAGACCTGTTCTCCACCTGAGGACGACTGCTTGTGTGGTGGTCAAGGTTGACACAGGTTACACAACTTAGGGGAGGGGTACGTACCGGTTTGGACTGGTCCGGACCGGTCGGGCAAAGAGGCGGTTGGAACCGCTCTGAGGGGAGGGGGCTGGCGAGAGCCGGGGCCCCGAGACACCCCCGCCCCTCAGAGAGGGGATATATAAGACGGCTCACAGAGAGCGGGAGTCAGTCCATCTCATCTGAAGCTGAAGGAAGGTGCCGTCGGAGATCCTGGACCCCAAGCCCCGAGGATGCCGCCGAGCCGGGACTGAGTGGGCTGCGGGTGGGCGTTAAGCTTCCCTAGGCTAAGGAGCCGTAGGTTAAGGGAAGGAGAGTAGTTAGAAGAGATCGGAGGCTGTACCTCCCTAGGTTGTGTGGTTAGGCTATTCCCCAGTGCGTCAGAATGTCTAGCTGTTATTGAATAAAAAGCGTGTGGTCTCTAAAGAAGTCTCCGTCTCCTTCAATATACACTTGCGTTGTGGCCGTAACGTCGTGAGAATTATTTAGTTTTATTTTTATTATTTTATTATTTCCATTCTATGTGACTTTACCGAAAGAACCAAGAAGATTAATCCCTGCAGTCATAAAAGCTTTAAATCGAAATTTAGCCGGAGAGTTGTTGGCTGTCTCGGTCGACACCATCAGCGTAACGTGTTTAGGGTTTACACTATGGGGACCTCATTTGCCAGTAAAAATATGATAATTGGTTCTTTACCCTTCTATCTGGCAACAAAACTGACACCTTTTTGCAAGGAGTCATGTTTGCATAGACCGCAATACCTGCAGTCATAATACAAACAAAAGAACATAACTCTGATAGTTATGGGACAGTGCACATTATCAGAGTTATGTTCTTTTGTTTGTATTATGACTGCAGGTATTGCGGTCTATGCAAACATGACTCCTTGCAAAAAGGTGTCAGTTTTGTTGCCAGATAGAAGGGTAAAGAACCAATTATCGTGTTTAGGGTTGTGCCAAGGCTGGGCTGTAGGACATCGAGAAGGAACTCGGCGAACCTGTTGAATCTAAAGAGTGTTAATAAAGGTGCCACCTGCAACTACCTCGTCTCCGACTTGTGCTACACCACACATACAGTGTGTGTGTATACACACTGTGTACACTACATACACTGTGTGTGTGGTGTACATAGTGTGTGTACACAGTGTACACTACATACACTGTGTAATCTACATACATTGTGTGGTGTACATGCAGTGTGTGTGTGGTGTACATACAGTGTATGTGTGTGGTGTACATACAGTGTGTGTACATACACTGTGTATGTAGTGTACATACAGTGTGTATATAGTGTACATACATTGTGTGGTGTACATACATTGTGTGGTGTACATACACTGTGTGTGGTGTACATACACTGTGTGTGTACATACACAATGTATGTAGTGTACATACATTGTGGTGTACATACACTGTGTGTGTAGTGTACACACATGCACACTGTGTGTGTGGTGTACACACATACACAGTGTGTGTAGCGTACATACATTGTGTGTGGTGTACATACACTGTGTGTGTAGTGTACATACACTGTGTGTATTTAGTGTGTGTAGTGTACATACACCGTGTGTGTACTGAGTGTGTGTGGTGTGCGTAGTTGTAAAGAGCTCCCGAGTCACTTGCACCTTCGCATTCCCCAGCAATGTCTGTGCAAGGCCACGTGGTCACGGAGACCACCCACAGCATGAGGCACTGTCCACAGACTCGGGCAAGGGCTGCAGTAGATGTGTAATGGAGCAATTAGCAAGCAGCGGGTTTTACATGACAATCACGTCGACTTATAATGGTCAATGATCACTGTGAAGAAAATACTGAATGCCGTGTATAACCTTACTACCCGCCTTTGCCCAGGGGAATTTTTTCTTTAAAAACTTGTCTTCTGTTAAAAAAACATAACATATACATACACAAATAAGTTATGGTATGTCCATTTGTCCGTCAACAAAATTATAAGAGCCTTACAGAAGGCCTGAATCAACAAGATATCGAAAGTGGGAGGTAAATAGTTGATCTGAAATGTTTAAAAAAAATTGTCCTATCTACTGAGTCTGCACTAGTATCTACTGACTATATATCTAGTGACTATCGTAGTATCTACTATCATAGTATCTACCGGACATTGTAGTATCTACTGAGTCTACAGTAGTATCTACCGAGTCTGCAGTAGTATGACTATCGCAGTATCTAATTGGGGTGGGGTGAGAAGAGGACATCACACTGTTCAGGATGTACCTCAGCGTGTGGTTGTGCAGTAGCAGTAACTTCACTTGATTGTTTTATTTTTGGTATTTTTTAAGCGAAGGAGAATCCCCCCTCCCATCGCTGCTCGGCAAGCTTGTTTACATTGCTAGGGGCAACCACGAGTCAGCGTTTCCAGATGCGTGCTTTGGCGCCGGCGATCAGCGTAAATTGTTACGAAGAGTGATTTTATTAGTTTACATCGGACCAAGGGCAAAAACAAATAGCGAGTTTTCGTCCGGAGGATTAGTTTGTTGTATCTGTGTACTTAGTTAAATCGTAAACCCAACAGTTAGTCCATTAAAAGCGTTACAAGGATAGGCGTACATAGACAGATAGACAGAATAAAAATTACGTTTATAGGTAAGATCCCTTCACCGCCAAGTCTACAACAGCACCTGGGAGGCTCTTGCGGAGTGGGAGGATGGAGCGTGACACACGGGGCTCACGCGAGGAGGAGAAGAGGGGAGACGGCACGAAGCCAGCGAGGGACTGGGCACGAGGTCAGAGTTCCGAGTGAACCCGGCCGCGGGATTCTATTGGTTATGGCTCCTCCCAGGCGAGTGGTAGAGCTGGCGGGACGACCTCACCCCGACGCTTAACTAGAACCTAACGCCGTCTTCTACTGTTCATGAGCACGAGCCCAGGTTCTACTTTGTGTTTGATTGCGATGGTGCTAATCGAGGCCACCACGGCAGGCAGGTGACGAGGAGCAGAGAGGCTCTCGGCCTTCTGGAGTCTGCAGCCCCGATGGTTCCGCTGCTGCTGCCGCTGCACTCCTCATCACGACTCGCCAGGGCTTCGTGGCCCTTGGAGCCGATGGCTCTTCCACGCCGAATTGTTCGTCGTCTCCGCTCCCCCACTGCTATCTACGGCCTCGCTCGTAGGCATCTGCAGCACAAATACAGTGGAGAACCCCCGCCGTGAACAGCAGCTAGGGCCGCTCTGCCGGATGGAATCGCGCATGTTTTGTTTACGTGACAAACCTTACTAGTTGGCTATGTTGGGTGGTGGGGGGTTTAACGACGCATTTATATTCATGCAATCTAACCCAAAAGCCTCATATGGATAATATTGGTGACGAAAGCTTCCTACTACTACTACTACTACTACCGCTGCTGCTACCACTTCCGCAGCTGCCGCTGCTGCTGCCGCTGCATGTCAAACAGAATCATGACAACAAAGAGAAGGAACCCGGAGACGACCCAGAGACAAGAAGCTGATTGGGGCAGTGGATGACCTCTTCACGTCAACAGGTGGCCATAGGCCACGGGCGTCTGAGAGCATTCGGTGTTGCCTGCAAGCAGCAGCAGCAGCATCACAGAGCCTGTGCCAGTGTGAGCGCCGGTGCTGGCCTCTGTAGGCCTCAAAGAAGCCACCGTCATCGTCTGCGGGCATGCAGTGTGAATGGCCATGCGTGTGTGAGTGTGTGAGTGAGTGAGTGCGTGAGTGAGTGTGTGAGTGTGTGAGTGAGTGAGTGTGTGAGTGTGTGTGAGTGAGTGTGTGCGTGTGTGTGTGAGTGTGTGAGTGAGTGTGTGAGTGAGTGTGTGCGTGTGTGAGTGAGTGTGTGAGTGTGTGCGTGTGCGAGTGAGTGAGTGAATGCGGCCGTGGGCCCAAGCCCTGTTCAGGGTCCAGTACCCACGGCCGTCAGACGAGCCCAGTAGGCTGTGCAGGGTGTGGGTCACTGCGTCACCTGTGTCACCTGTGTCCCTGGTGTGGCGTGAGTGGCTGTCAGAGAATGCAGGTGATGTTGTGGTAGAAAAGCCGTGGCATGGAGTTATCAGTGTCGAGTTAGACGTGTAGAGTTAGAGGTGTAGAGTTAGAGGTGTAGAGTTAGAGGTGTAGAGTTATCAGTGTGGAGTTAGAGGTATTCAAGTGCGCATGGCAGTCACTGGTGCTCGACTGCATTTAGGTGCAGTCCCGGTGTGTCTGGACGTACAGCATGTGGTTGTCATGTGTGTGGTTGTCATGTGTGTGGTGTGGTTGAGTTGTCCTGTGTGGCTGCCATGTGTGTGGTTGTCATCACGTGTGTGGTTGTCGTCACGTGTGAGGTTGTGCTGTGTTTGTGTGGTTGAGCTCCAATCAGCTGCTCTGTCCTCGACTCTGCCACCTGCAACAGCAGCAGCAGAGAAAGGTGCAGCGGAACGCCCTGTGAGAGCAGAGCACAGGCAGCGTGTGAGAGTGGTGATGAGTGGCGGTGGTGAGTGCACAGTGTGGTGAGTATGAGAATGGTGGTGTTCACTGCGTGGTAAATGTGTAGTAGTGCATGGTCAGTGTGGTGAGTGTGAGAGTGGTGGTGATCACTGCATGGTGAATGTGTGGTAGTGCATGGTGAGTGTGGTGAGTGTGAGAGTGGTGGTGTTTACTGCGTGGTGAATGTGTGGTAGTGCATGGTGAGTGTGAGAGCAGTGGTGTTCACTGCATGGTGAATGTGTAGTAGTGCATGGTGAGTGTGGTGAGTGTGAGAGTGGTGGTGTTCACTGCGTGGTGAATGTGTGGTAGTGCACGGTGAGTGTGGTGAGTGTGAGAGCGGTGGTGTTCACTGCGTGGTGAATGTGTGGTAGTGCATGGTGAGTGTGAGAGTGGTGGTGAGTGGACAGTGAACCTCATCATTCCAGTTTCTCCACAGCATCCAGGAACTTGAGGAAGTCCTCCAGGCGGTGGAAGCCACCCACTTCCCGTGCCACCATGGCAAAGAACTCCGGGGCCTGAGAACAGGAAGAGAAGATGTGAGACAAAGACATCGAGGAGGAGCTGGGTGAGGAGCTGGGTGAGGAGCTGGGTGAGGAGCTGGGTGAGGAGCTGGGTGAGGAGGTGAGGAGCCGCAGGGTTGGGGTCCCCACTGAGTCGTGGCGTCTGTGTCCATGAGCCTGACACGTGGTGCTGTGTGTGGTGACACCACGTGGTGCTGTGTGTGGTGCCCCCACGTGGTGCTGTGTGGTGCCCCACGTGGTGCTGTGTGTGGTGCCCCCACGTGGGGCTGTGTGGTGACACCACGTGGTGCTGTGTGGTGACACCACGTGGTGCTGTGTGGTGACCCCACGTGGTGCTGTGTGGTGACACCACGTGGTGCTGTGTAGTACCCCCACGTGGTGCTGTGTGGTGCCCCCACGTGGTGCTGTGTGGTGACACCACGTGGTGTGTCACTCTGTGCCCCACGTGGTGCTGTGTGGTGACACCACGTGGTGCTGTGTGGTGACACCACGTGGTGTCCCCCGGTGTCCCCGTGCCACCTGCTGGCGGATCTCCAGGAGGGAGTGGAGGATGCGGCCGTCGATCTGCGTGAAGTTGGGGCAGTAGGCGCCCAGGCTGCTCTCCTCCAGCCAGGCCTGCACGTCACCCTCCTGCCACTTGGGGACGCCTGGGGACACGGCAAGCGGCGCGCGCGGGGCAACAGACGTCGGCAACCACGGGAGACTCGGCGTGAGCAAGACGAGCAACTTGACAGGGAATCCTGCAACTCGGTGCATCAAACACCCAGCTGCTCCTGTGTCTCTTCTCATGTCCCCTGAACTAGAGGCCGGTCGAAACTGAATTTCTAGTTTCGGACGAAAACGAAACTAAACCGAAAGTAAACTTTTTGGCTTTGGCCGAAACAGAAACTTTGCCGAAAGAGGCCATTTGCCAACTTTCGGCGCCGAAACCGAATTTCGGTCGACCTCTACCTTGAACTGCTATTACCAGGCTGCTGTTATCTCAAGGCTGCTGTTACCTAGGGGCTGCTGTTACCTAGGGGCTGCCGTTACCTGCGAGGCGAGCCTGCACCTCCGTGGACCTGGAGGAGGAGCAGCACGAGATGAAGCCCTTGACGGCGCGGAGCACGGCCTGAGGCACAGAGGGGGGGGGGGAGTGGGGGGGGCACGGGGGGGGGGGGGGTTGCGTCACCGCACGCGCTGCACGAGCGTCGTGCTGGGGACACCGCTGGAGTAAAGAAGAGGTGTAGAGGAGGTGGTGTAGAGGAGGAGGAGGTGTAGAGGAGGTGTAGAGGAGGTGGTGTAGAGGAGGAGGTGTAGAGGTGGAGGTGTAGAGGTGGAGGTGTAGAGGAGGTGGTGTAGAGGAGGTGGTGTAGAGGAGGAGGAGGAGGTGTAGAGGAGGAGGAGGGGGTGTAGAGGAGGAGGTGTAGAGGAGGAGGTATAGAGGAGGAGGTGTAGAGGAGGAGGTGTAGAGGTGTAGAGGAGGAGGAGGTGTAGAGGAGGAGGTGTAGAGGAGGTGTAGAGGAGGAGGAGGTGTAGAGGAGGTGTAGAGGAGGAGGAGGTGTAGAGGAGGAGGTGGAGGTCCTCACGCTGCCCCAGGAGCCGGCCGCTCTCTCCCTCAGCTGGTTCTGGTTCGTGCTCCATATGGGGCAGTGCAGATGTCCCTCTGAAACACACAAACACTCAGAGTCAAACTCACCACTCACTCACCACTCACTTACTACACACATTCACCACTCACTCACCACTCACTCACCACTCACTCACCACTCACTCACCACTCACTCTCACCACTCACTCCACACTCACCACTCACCATACACACACCACTCACTCACCATACACTCCTCACACTCACCACTCACTTATCACACACACTCACCACTCACTACACGCACTCGCCACTCTCACCAACACTCATACAAGTATATACAGCACAAACACATCAACACTCACTACACACAGCAGTGTATTGTGCAGTGTGTGTACATGTATCCTGGGTAAATCGATGCTCAGTGTGTAGCGCATGTGTAGTGGGTTCGTATTAGGTGCACACACACACACAGCTTGGAGGCAACACTATTTATTAAACGGTAAGTAATATAACACTGTACATGAGGTGGTGACCACCTTCCTCAACTCACTAACACTCTGGAATGCTACACAGAGTGGACCAGGCAGGCGACGGGCTGCCTGGTCCAGGACGACGACCCGGGACTAGAGGACCGATGATATCGTCTTCACTTCGGAGTACAACAGCCTCGCTCTCCGTTCACACCACGATTATATCTGCTCTGGTGTGGCCGGCTCCGCCCAGGCCACGCCTCCCTTCCCAGGCCACGCCTCACTTCCCCCACCTCACGGGAGGTCTGGGTCCCTCCACCACGTGACCCCCCAGGCACCCCCTTGGGGCCCCCAGCCCTCATACGGGCCGACACAGTAGTGACGTCCTATGTCACTACACATGTAGTGTATATATATACGCTATAGAGTGTATATATGTTGTGTATATATAGTGCATGTGTAGTGTATATATTGTAGATACATGTAGTATGTATAGTGTATATATTATATGTAGTGTGTATACTATTTAGTTCTTTCGGTAAAGTCACGTAGTGATAAAATATAATAAATCACGACGTTTCGGGCGCAACACAAGCGCCCGTCGTCAGTTGTGAAAGCGTTGTCTGCTGCTGATGCAGACTGTTGTAAAGGTTTGAAATGGGTGTAGCCCAAGGGTCATAAAGAAGTGGCCGGGGCTGGTGATGTTAATGTGATAAATTAAAGGGCATGGAAGTGGCGATGTTAATATGAGAGATTAGCATGAAATAACAGTTGACATAGGCAGGTATAGTTAGTATATGCAGTGTATATATATATATATAAAGTGTGTGTGTGTGTATATGGAGAGCCGCCCTCCTCCTGCTCCTCCTCCTCACCCTGCCTCATCTGGGAGCAGGTGTCGGGGTCCCGGCTGAGTCTGCTGAGCGTCGTCACCGCATGGAGCTTCTCCACGGAGCGGCCCTGCCTCAGGCTCTGCACCAGCGGAGCCACGGCGCCCGCCTCGTAGATCTGACGAGAAGCGGCGCGGATCCCGCGAGGAGCGACGGTGAACCTCGGCGCAAGCGGGAAGCGGCTCGGAAGCCACAGATTCACGACTTGGGCGGCGCCGTCGACCAACCCGCGACGACGTACCGGCGGGGAAACGACAATCGCGGCGCGCGACACCCAGCACAGCGCCCAGGGCCGACTCGGTGCCTGGTGGGTGGTGCGGTGCGAGTGCTCACCTTCCTGCGCACCGGCCAGCACACGGACAGCATGGCCAGAGACTCCAGCAGCTCCTCGCTCTGGGATATGATCTCACCCACCTGCTTGTATCGGCCGTACACGGTGGGCCTACTGATGATCTGGAGCAGCTCGTTAGTGGAGTCTGAAACGAGACGCGCAGTGACCATCACTCCTCAGCCCACCACGTGTCCCGTGTCACCCATTTAGCCCACCACGTGTCCCGTGTCACCCACTCACCCCACCACGTGTCCCGTGTCACCCACACAGCCCACCACGTGTCACCCACACAGCCCACCACGTGTCACCCACACCCACACAGCCCACCACGTGTCACCCACACAGCCCACCACGTGTTCCGTGTCACCCACACAGCCCACCACGTGTCACCCACACAGCCCACCACGTGTCACCCACACCCACACCGCCCACCACGTGTCCCGTGTCACCCACACCGACACAGCCCAGCGGTAGCACCTTCGCCGCTTGGTGCGGAGGTTTACGGTTCAAATCCAGCGGCCGCCCTGGTTATTACTGCTGTGTAATAACCGGAATAAAATGCCCCGCCTACTTCACTGTTAAAGATCCTGCGATGTAATCGCAAGAGTGGGGTTGCGGTCCAAATTTGCCATTCGAAAATCACCCACGTGTGGATTATACAAATGTGATATTGTGAGTGTGGGGTACGAGATATAAGCGTGTGGTTTAACAGCTATTGCTATGACTCTGTGTGTATGCATGGTGTTATGTGTGTACAGCTATTGCTATGACTCTGTGTGTACGCGTGGTGTTATGTGTGTACAGCTATTGCTATGACTGTGTGTACGCATGGTGTTATGTGTGTACAGCTATTGCTATGACTCTGTGTGTATGCGTGGTGTTATGTGTGTAGAGCTGTTGTGCCAGCTATGCTTTATTGTGTTTAAACTACAGCCATACTTCCTATTACGCTCAGGATGCGTTCTCGGTAAAGTGAGCACTATACGAAACAGCGCTATAGGAGGTCGCTATCACATGGTTCCAATGGAGATGCGTTACCGACAGCTATTATTTACCTTTGAACAATATATGTGAGAGTTTCATTGGGGTATCAGTAATAGCCTTAATAATGATACTGTACACATGATAAATGTATTAAAGCATTTTATCAATAAAATTTACTTTTATTGCTAACATAAACAAATACGCAGTAAGTTACGTACTCATCAGAGCTTGTGTAAAATTAACCACCATCTGCTATTAAAACACGTTCTGCGGGAAGCTATACTAACCAATGGGATTAGTCGATCCATGTATCCCAAAATGAATCGACACGGTGATTAACTCTCGATGAATGGATACTCGATACAACAGACACCTTGATTCTGGTTTCCACAAGACCATGTTGGTGAAGATGGCGCCGATGATGGCAGCCTCGGCCGGTTGGTGCACCCTGTTTTGTCTTGTTTTGTCTGTTAATTCAGTGTTCTGCCAAGTTTTTCGGAGTTCTCTAATAAGAGACGAACTTGTAAACATCAGGGAAACAACTTCTGTAGATTTATTTCCCACTTTTCTGCTTCCAGCGGCAGAATTAGTGGGCATTCTAGTCAAAGCCGCGCTAGGCTTTTCTCAAGCAGCGAAACGCCACCGAAGGGGTAAACGGCCGGGGGCTCTAGTGCGGCTACGCAGACGCGGGATCCGAACAGTGCTTCCAAGCTTTTTCCTCTCCAATGTACGTTCACTGTGCAACAAAATGGACGACCTTCAGCTACTGATGGTGAAAAACAGAGACTTTCTTTCATCTTCTGTCTTGTGCTTCACGGAGACATGGCTGTGTGATTTGATCCCGGACACTGCGTTACAACTGGCAGGCTTCCAACTCGTAAGATCGGATCAGGACATAGCACTCTCCGGCAAGACGAGGGGCGGTGGTATTTGTTTTTACACTAACAGTGGCTGGTGTGTAGATGTAACAGTGATTCTGCAACATTGTTCTCCGGACCTGGAATCATTTTTTATAAACTTTAAACCTTTTTACTCGCCTCGCGAGTTTGCGTCGCTCATTTTGGTCGGAGTTTATTTTCCGCCGGGTCCTCAGGTTAAAGAGGCCCAACGCATGCTCAACGACCAGATTCTGAGTGTGCAGCGAGAAAATCCGGATTCCCTGGTTATCGTACTCGGCGACTTTAACAAAGGTAATCTCAGCCACGAACTCCCCAAATACAGACAATTCATTAAATGCCCTACCAGAGAAGGTACCACTCTGGATCACTGCTACACTATAGTCAGTGGAGCCTACCACGCCGTCCCCCGAGCAGCACTGGGACACTCTGACCATGCCATGGTCCACCTGATTCCTGCATACAGGCAGAAACTAAAGCTCTGTAAACCTGCTGTGAGGACATCTAAACAGTGGACCAGTGAGGCTATGGAGGATCTGCGGGCGTGCTTGGACTGTACTGACTGGGATATGTTCACGACTGCTACCAATAGCCTGGATGAACTCACAGAGGCTGTGACGTCGTACATCAGCTTCTGTGAGGACTGCTATATTCCAACACGCACCAGGGTGAACTTCAACAACAACAAGCCCTGGTTCTCAGCAAAGCTCAGAAGGTTGAGGTTGGAGAAGGAAGAAGCGTTTAGGAGTGGAGATAGAAATAGATTCAGAGAGTCGAAGGACAGGTTTAGCAAGGCGGTGAGAGAGGCTAAACGACTGTACTCAGAGACTAAAACATCAGTTCTCTGCTAACGACTCTGCTTCTGTCTGGAGAGGGCTCAGGCAGATCACCAACTACAAGCCCAGAGCCCCCCACACCACTAACGACTCCCGCCTGGCCAACGACCTGAACGAGTTCTACTGTAGATTTGAAAGACAATTGGACTGTCCTGAACTACCCATTCCCACCCAAGAGGCCTCCCCCCTCCCCCCCACTACAGAGATGACTCTCTCAATTCAGGAGGGAGAGGTTAACAAACTTTTCAAGAGGCAGAACCCCCGCAAAGCAGCTGGGCCAGACTCTGTCTCTCCAGCGACCCTCAAGCACTGCGCTGACCAGCTGTCTCCGGTGTTCACCAACATCTTCAACACCTCTCTGGAGATATGCCATGTACCAGCCTGTCTCAAGTCCTCCACCATCATCTCTGTGCCCAAAAAGCCAAGGCCAACAGGACTTAATGATTACAGACCCGTCGCCCTAACCTCTGTGGTAATGAAGTCTTTTGAGCGCCTGGTGCTGGCACATCTGAAAGCTGTCACAGACCCTCTCCTGGACCCCCTGCAGTTTGCCTACAGAGCCAACAGCTCTGTGGACGACGCAGTAAACATGGCCCTCCACTTCACCCTACAGCACCTGGACTCCCCAGCATCCTACGCCAGGATCCTATTTGTGGACTTCAGCTCTGCTTTCAACACCATCATCCCTGCCCTGCTTCAGGACAAGCTCTCCCAGCTGAACGTGCCCGACTCCACCTGCAGGTGGATCACAGACTTCCTGTCTGACAGGAAGCAGTGCGTTAGGCTGGGAACACAAGTCTCTGACTCCCGGTCCATCAGCACCGGATCTCCTCAGGGCTGCGTCCTTTCCCCTCTGCTCTTCTCCCTGTACACCAACAGCTGCACCTCCAGTCATTCGTCCGCCAAACTCTTGAAGTTTGCGGATGACACCACCCTCATTGGGCTCATCTCTGGTGGGGATGAGTCTGACTATAGGTGGGAAGTTGACAACCTGGTGTGGCCAGAACAACTTAGAGCTTAATGCTCTTCTGACAGTGGAGATGGTTGTGGACTTCAGGAAGAATACAGCCCAACTCACTCCCATCACCCTGTGAGACTCCCCAGTCAACACTGTGGAGTCCTTCCGCTTCCTGGGCACTATCCTCTCCCAGGACCTCAAGTGGGAACTGAACATCAGCTCCCACATAAAGAGAGCACACCAGAGGATGTACTTCCTATGGCAGCTGCAGAAATTAGACCTGCCAAAGACAATGATGGTACACTTCTACACAGCCATCATTGAGTCCATCCTCAGCTCCTCCATCACCATCTGGTACGCTGCTACCACTGCCAAGGACAAGAGCAGACTGCAGCGTATCATCTGCACTGCTGAGAAGGTGATTGGCTGCAATCTGCCTACCCTCGAGGACCTGCACACCTCGAGGACCCTGAGGCGAGCGAGGAAGATTGTGGCCGACTCCTCCCACCCTGGACACTCTCTGTTCCAGTTACTCCCCTCCGGCAGAAGGCTGCGGTCCATCAGGACCAAAACCTCACGCAACAATAACAGTTTCTTCCCATCCGCTGCTGGCCTCTTCAACAAGGCCAGGGGCTCAAACTGACTTTAACGCTCAAACTGACTTTAACACAATATCTGCACAATGACACCCTGCCATATTTGCACGCTTACCCTATTTGCATTTTTGTAATTTTATATTGTATATTATAGCTATTGTATATTTTAGATTATATTTTATTCAATTTTTACATACTTTAGCTCCTTAGTATTAGTTAGACTTTGTACCTTTAGTATTCTTCTTCTTGAGGTGCTTGGACATCTTAAAGGATCGTCCAAACGGTCTCAAGAGACACTTCTGACACCAATGTAATAAAGCTCGTTGAGGCGACTTCTGGAATCCGTCTCTTATTCAACTTGTATTACAGCTTTCCTTCATGCTGCTGACAGGCAGCGTGAGAGGGACAGATAGAGAGAGAGACACACTGCCACGTGGCAACCCGGAGCCCCGCTCCCGCGTGGCCCCCTTCCTCTGTTCGTTCCCGTTCTGACCACGTGTCGCTCGTCTCCACCCCTATTTAATACCCGGGTCACGTGGTACGTTTCCGCCAATCCTCGTTAGCCTCCATGGAATATTCCAGGCCCCCTCGTAAGCTCCCGGGACCACGCCCCTGACTCCTCTCCCCATTGGCTGTGGCCAAAGCCAGCAGAACCAATCCTTACAGCTGTCACCTTGCCATTACGTCAGGGCCACGCCCCTAGGCTTCCCCCCATTGGCTATAAACCAGGACCGGCATAGCCAATCATCATGACGAGTTGTGATATGTCAGTGAGCCGGATATATCCTCACATTACACTTGTACACCACTTATTTAAGATTTAAGATTCCTATTTGTTGAATCTATGCACCTTACTGCCAAAGTAAATTCCTTGTCTGTGCGAACTTTCATGGCGAATAAAACCCTATCTGATTCTGATGTTAGAGTATTGGGCTGCTATAAATGACCATGTGATACGCCGCTTGGTTGAGCTGTCATTTGTGGTGGCCACGTCGCTTCTAAACAACGTCCACATCGCTCAGTGGGGCCCTACCCGGTAACGTAAAAATTATTTATTTTTAAATAAGCCAATCACCATACCCAGCGCCGCGCCCATCCACCTCCTCGTATGCCACGCCAGTATTCACAGCTGATCGTGAACAGCACTTGGCCCAACAGTCTGTTGAGGCTATGCGGGGGATCTTCTTCTTTAGTCTCCCGTGTGCCGCGTGTCACCGTCTTCTTTAATGCGTAAACGGTGACGTCTACATCCCTCGTCTGACTAAAGCCACGTGAGGGAGGCGAGCGGTGGGTGAGCAAGTGCCGAGTCCTGCAGGCGAGGAGCGGCCCGTGCGGGGTGCCGTGAGAGTTGCGTACTCGTCTCTCCCAGGGGGTCGCAGTCGCTCTCCTCCAGTATGTGGGCGATGACCACCAGGGCAGTCATCCTGAACTCCACGTCATCCTTCTTGAGCAGTTCCTGCATCACGGGCACCGCGTTGCTCTGGCGGAAGCAGGCGCGGTTCTCTGGCACGCGGGAGAGGTTCGCCAGCAGAGTGACGGTGAAGACCAGCAGCCTGCGTATGGTCTGGAGACACACGGGGAGAGACGCATGGGGAAAGACACACAGGGAGAGACGCACGGGGTGAGACACACGGGGATAGACACACGGGGAGAGACACGGGGAGAGACACACGGGGTGAGAGACACGGAGATGTCACCGCCTTCATGTCCCTTCATCAACCAGCGCTCCACGCTGCCACGGGGACACACTCATGTGTTTACATGCTTATTTACATGTGTTTACATGCTTGGTTACATATGTTTACATGTGTTCACATGATTATTTACGTGTTTACATTCGTGTTTCATGTTTATATACGTGTTTGTGTTCACGTAATTCTTTACGCGATTACATTCGTGTTTACATTCTTGTTTACGTCCGTGTTCACATTCTTATTTATGTGTTTACATTCGTGTTTACATGTTTATTTACACGTGCTTACATTCGTGTTTAATGCTTATGTATGTGTTTACATTTGTGTTCACATGCTTGTTTGTGTTAGATTTGTGTTTACATGTTTGTTTACACGTGTTTACAACTTGATTTGAAGCTTTCTGGACTGCAGGAATCCATACTCTTTGGTTCTTTTGGTAAAGTCATGTAGGTAGAAAATTAATAGATCACGACGTTTCGATCTCAACACAAGCAATCGTCATCAGGTGGGACAACCACAGCAATAAAAAACTACTGAAGTAGGCGAGAAATCTGTCGTGGCACGAGCTATATAGGCCTCGGCAGCAGGAGGGGAGAGAAGGGGGGGAAGAAGGTGGGGTAGAACGTGGACCCTGCGGCAGCCCCGGGTCACTGGAGTAAAGTGGACCACCGCGGCAGCACTGGAGAGGTCGGTTGCAGGGGGGGAAAGAGAAGGGGGGGGGAGGCAGGGCAGAAAGTGGACCCTGCAGTAGCACCCGGGTCACTGGAGTAAAGTGGACCACCGCGGCAGCAATGGAGAGATCGGCTGCAGGGGGGGGGGGGGAGGGAGAAGGGGGGGGGGAAGCAGGGCAGAAAGTGGACCCTCACTGGAGTAGAAATCGGAGAGAGATGCACAGAGAGAGAGGGAAAGACACACAGAGAGTCGGAAATAACAGCTGACATGGGCAGGTAGGATGGAAACATCACAGTCAGTTAATACTTTACCTGGTTAATAAAGTTCTTCCAATGATTGCTCAGTTTGTACCAATCTTCTCGGTTTAAGTTGTGTCTGTGTTTATATATCTATCTGGACGGCTTCATGAACAAATCTCTGATAATAGCCGGTGGGTTTGCAGAGTACATTCGTCTTGGAAAAGTCAATTTCGTGTCAGCCCATTGCGTTAAAACAATTATCAGCAATGGCAGAAGTATTGGTCCTACCGTGTTTAAGATCTGCCTTGTGTTCGCGAATGCGGTCCGAGATATGTCGCTTCGTTTCCCCAATGTAACTGCTGCCGCAGCCACAACTCAGTTTGTAGACACCCGGGTATTGCATATCAGGAATCACTTACTACACCTAGATTGGTACATTCTACAAACAAAATTAGGGTACCCCAATGGGTTCTCCCTTATCGGCAGTGGTAGCGAATGATTTCATGGAGAAATTTGAGAAACATGCCATCCAGACATCCACCCTACGTCCTTCCTTGTGGAAGAGATACGTAGATGACACGTTCATCATCTGGCCACATGACCTGCCAGCACTGAACCAATTTCTCAACCACATCAATTCCATACAGCCATCTATCAAATTTACCATGGAAGTGGAAAATGATGGCAATCTACCATTCCTGGATGTTTTGATCGAGAAGAGACCTGATGGCTCGCTGGGACACTGTCTACAGGAAAGCCACCCACACGGATGTCTATCTAAAGCCTGACTCCCACCCACCATCCAGCCCAGAAGAATTCCTTCATCAAAACACTACACCATAGGGCCTGTTGCATCTCCGACCAGCATCACCTAGCCAGTGAGCTGGAGCACGTACACCAAGCCCTCAGGATGAACGGATATTCTGACCGTACAATCCGCAAAGCTGTCTCCCCTGCCATGGTTCACACGCGCAGACAACGCCGCGCCGGCAAGCCGAGCCCGGACGGCGGAGGCCGCCAGGAAGGTCCTACGACGAGTTCCGAGGACTTGAGAAGCGAACGACGAAACCGGCGCCTCGGCCATACGCCTCCGAGAGCGCCGACTCCGTCTTCCGCCGGAGCGACGGCCACGCCGCTAAAACGGTGAACGCCGACTCCGCGGAACAGCGCCGCCGCCCCCCCGGTACCGAGGAGCTCCCGTCCAGCGCCACCACCGCCACCTCCAGCGAGCCACAGGGGCACCCGAGGGGCACGAGCAAGGCGGCTCGCTGACAAGCAGCAAACAACGCGGGGCGCCGGCTCTCACGCCAACCGCGACGATGATGAATCGACACGGTGCTGCGTTGTGAACGTCATCTACTACTCGCCATCATCTACTACTCACTATCATCTACTACCCGCCATCATTTACTACCCGCCATCATCTACTACTCACCATCATCTACTACTCGCCATCATCTACTACTCACCATCATCTACTACTCACCATCATCTACTACCCCCCGCTGGTCAACAGTGCCGACACTCTTGCTCGGTTGAGCTGGTTATGCTCTCAATGGTGAAAGAAACAAGAAAAAAAAGTCACGAAAAACAAAAGACGAACTTCGCGACTCGTAGCTTCTGCTGATGCAGCTCCCTATCCCGGAGCCTGCCGCTCGCAGAACTTAGTTGCATGATCTGTGTCCTTGCTTATATGTGAAATTCTCTCCCCTCTGCCCGCCTTCTCACAAAGGACTGGGATTCCTTTGATTTCGCTCTTTGCTGTGGGGGCAGTTGTTTGTCCGGTGTGTGTGTATGTGTAGGGGTGTTACGAGAGGGAAAACAAACACACAAGGGGTGTTTGCGCCCGCACGCGTAAGGGTGCCTACATCCACGTCCGCAACGGTTAGCCCTGGGGGGCTGTGACGGCGCTGTGATCCCCCACGGCCCCACCCCTCGGGGGGGAGTTGCTATAAAAGGAGGGGAGCCGGTGGGCTCGGGGTGGAGTATTACAGCTTAACCAGCGAAGAGTGCAGACCAGCAGGATAGGCCCTGGGACTCCCCTGGCTCGCTGTCCTTCTAAGGACCGACCAGGGCAAGCCAGCGGCGCGGCCTTGAGAGCCCAGAGCCGATGCTCTTGTAAGAGCCGGTCTGGTTGGCTAAGGGTGCCGAGATCCTAGCTTGGCCAGAGCTGGATCAGCTAGCCTCCCCTAGCTCTCTAGTGGAGGACCTGGGAGCAGACTAGCCGGGCTAGCGCTAAGGGTGTCTCCCTGTTAGACGGGTGAAGGGGCCGTTACCCCTTCAAGTATTGTGTTCTGCCCTTTGGTTGAATAAATAAGTGTGCCTCCGACTACGTCGTCTACGTCTCCTTGAACTCACTACATATGTTCTGATTTATTAAGCAATCTGTTAAGTCTTACGCTGGCCTGGTTCCTGTCCCCCTCCTCAAGCCACCCCGCCATCAATGGAAACAGATGCTCCAAATTGCCCCCAAGTGCATTTCCCAGTTTTTCAACTTCTGCAAAAATTAATCTGGAAGGAGGGAGGGGTTCCTTTTGTCCGGTTGCATTCTCCCCCCCCCCCTTCTTCCCTCCCAACTGGGGTGTTACATTATTTTGTCTCTCCCAAAGAGCGGCGCCGTCTCTTGAAGTGTGACCTCCTGTACCGGTTGGAAGTAAAACATTATTTTACCTCTAATAGCTTGATACCGTACCACTTTTTTGCAGTTTTGACTATGTAGGTGACTAAAGGTATGTTTGGTGCAGTGTTTACAGTACTTTCATCGTGGTTTGGAATTCCTTCATGGTGTTTGATATCTCAAGGGGAGGGGCCCTCCCTGCATTTGCGATTTATTGCTACCACGTGCTTCTGGAAGACAAAGGCGGTGGGGAGGCTCTATGGGATACATTTTATCTTGGTCGTGTGTGATTGACCTATTTCGCTTGTATCTCATCTGGATGACCCTCGGTCTAATACGTCCCAAGTATTATTTGGTTCATATTTATCCAATATTTCTGATTTATCATCGTTATTACCACATGTATTCCTAGGGTTGTATTAACCTTTGTTCCCCGTCTGTATCCAGGGATCCGTGCTGTTAATCCTCGAGTTATATTTTGATATCCTGAGGTTGGAGATATAACTAAGTTTTCACTATAAACTTTCTTGACTGCTGGAATTCATATTCCTTGGTTCTTTTGGTAAAGTCACATAGATAGAAAGATACAATAAGAAACAATATATGAGGTGAATAAGAGTAAAAAGTAATAATAAAAGCCACTAATGTGGACTGCAGTCTGGTTCTTAATCTGGGTGAGTGTGTTGGCAGTCTATGATGTCGACTTATTCTTGTAGCTAAGTTCCGAACTTTTACCGTTGTATTAAGAGAAACAACAAAAAACAGTTGTCTGTTCAGTCACCCCGCGTCCGGCCCGCTATTTTGGGTACATGTGTGTGTGTTTGTTCTAATTTTATTGTAGTGATAAGTTGTTTCATCAAGGCCTGGTTCCTGTCTCCTTCCTCAAGCCACTCTGCCATTAATGGAAACAGATGCTTCAAATTGTCCCTAGATGTTTTCCCAGTTGTCAACTTCTGCAATAATTAATCTGGAAGGAGGAAGGGGTTCCCCCTGTCCGGTTGCGTTCTCCACCCTCTTCCTTCACGGTCGGGGTGTTACATTTTTTTGTATCTCTCAAAGAGGGGCGCCGTCTCTTGAAGTGTGACCTCCTGTACCATGTTTCCAGTTCACTCTTATGGGTTTTTACAAACATTATTTTCCACCCCTTATCTTAGTGTTTATCCTATTTTGCGGTGTTGACTCTGTAAGTGACTCAAGGTATGTTTCGAGCAGTGTTTACAGTATGTCCATCATAGTTTGGACTTTTCATGGTGTTTGATATCTCAAGTGGAGGCGCCCTCCCTGCATTTGTGATTTATTGCTACCACGTGCTTCTGCAAGACAAAGGCGGTTGGGAGGGCTC